TTTAGGTATTCCAATCAGTTATAGGCTGAAGATGTGCTTACAAGCTTTCTGTAATCATGTTTCCCAACATACCTTTCTATCCCATTCAAGTGTCTGTTTTACAGTAGTAGGCAAGGGAAACCAAGATTTGTGAGGCAGTCAAGTATCTTATTACTATTTCCCCTCTTCAGACTGTGCCTTGATCCTTGGATCATACAAGAGTGGGGCAGTAGTTGTCCTGATGCAGACTGTACTTGGCCATCCTGTGATTAGAAAATTGCCCAGAAAACATACCCATAGTTCAATTCCCTCTCTGTTTGCTTGCATGACAGCCCAGCCCCCCCGAGTGCTCACTCTGTTTCTTTGTCCCTGTTTCCTGACAAGTTCACCTCCTCTCTCCTAGGCCCGCTGCCCTGATCTCCATGATGGAGGACGGCTATGAGCTGGACCTCACGTATATCACAGAGCGCATCATCGCTGTCTCCTTCCCTGCCAGCAGCTCTGAGGAGTCTTATCTCCATAACCTGCAGGAAGTCACATGCATGCTCAAGTCCAAGCACGGCGACAACTATCTGGTGAGTGCTGGGACCCCTGGGTACCAGGGTGTGTGAGCATGGCAGCTCTGAGAAGGGGACAGTTTGGGCACTGTAGTTGGCACCAACATTTACACATTTGTGGTGTACAAAGTTCTTGCATGCCCTATATAATTACAGCCTCACTTGCTCTCCATGGCATGATGAGAAAGGCAAGTCCTCTGAGGTCCCTGTTTTATAAAGTAGGAAACACTGATCTATGCTGTGGCCACTGTCTGCCCTACCTCAGGGATAGGTGGACGTTTCCATTAATAGTCTACATCAGGATGACTACTGCCCCAGTCTTATATGTATGCAGCCATTACCAGCCAGTTCAGGCCTCTTGTTGCCTGGAGATTCTTTTGGGACATTGCTGTCTCCAGCAGCACCCAAGGTGTAGATACGGCATTTATGGTATCAAAAGTAACTCTCCCTCTCCTCCTGAAAAATCAATTCCAAAGCCAACAGCGTGGGTGCCTAAGTAACCTGGGGATACCCAGGACACATGTACAGAGCTGGTTTTGCAAACTTAAGTGTGAAAATTGTAAGAAGCCCAAAAGGGGGAAAATGTGAAAGAACAGCCTCTCCCTGATTCTCCGTGTTCAGTTTACCCCCTTTTTTTACTAGTCCCCCTGTTGCTAGTCTATGTAGAGTCTGTTAACTCTTCTTCCTTCTACCAATATTATCATAGCTCCTTTGAAGTACAACCTCTCAGCTGCCCTAAAAGGCCTCTTTACCCTCTTTGGAGCTAATCCTCACCATCAGCGAACAAGGAGATACCGTCTACATTAGTCTTATTCTGCAGATGGATGGGCCTGGCCTCTGGGAACTGTGTCCTGGGGAACTTGTGGAGAGAGGGTCCTGATGGAGTTGAGGGTGCTTCTGATCCCACCTTTGTAGGCCCCTAGGACAGCCCCCGGGTAGGCACGGGTTATTACTCCTCAGAGCTTGTGGCTGCACTGAGGACCTGTCTGTCTGTCTTCATGATGACCTGGCAATCGCTAGACTCTTGTAAGCAATACGATATCTGGACCCCTGTCGCACAATCACACACCACAGATAACTGCTCTTCTTTCAGCACAAGGTTTCTTTTGTTGGCATCTCTTCTGAGGCCTCCTGCAGGTTTATTAGCATGTTCCAACCTCCCCTTTCCAGCTTCATCCCCCTCTCCTAATCCTAACACACTACTTCATTGTAGGGACCGATACCCTGCAGACTGGGGCCTTGAGCTATTGGCCCATTGATACTGGGAGGGGCCCAATTGGGATCAGAACATCCTCCTACCTCTCTGCAAAACGGCTAGGCTAGAGTGGTTCCTTATTGTTTTGGAACAAGGAACGTTTTGAAATATCTGAAACATTGGCATGTCTTGTACTGACTGTTGATTAAGAATCCTAGAACAAATTGATCTGTGGTTTTCCTCATCCATCTGAAAAGGCTCTAACTTTATGAGTTGCATTCTCAGACAATTAAGCGTGTGTGTGTGTGTGTGTGTGTGTGTGTGTAGGAGGAGATTCTCCAAATATCATTCCATTGTGACACATCTTATCACTCCCTAATGGGCTAGAGTCTTTGAGGAAGGGTTCTGTGTGTCATACCTCAATTAATGCTAACGGACCTGAAATAAATTTGTGTTTAATAGGCCAAAGGGCAACTATGCTAGGGATAAAAATCAACATGGGCTCCAGAGTGGGCAGAAATCCTACCTGACTGGGTGACTTTGGACAAAGCACTGTCCCAGCACTCCTCTGGCATCCTGTTGCTGAAGTAAGGAGAGCCATGCCTTTAGTGGATTCATAAGGCCTTTGTTGCATGAACATTATGGGTTTTGCTTTACTTGAGTATTTATTAACTTTCTATACCAGCCACTCCATGGCAACCCTGCACAAAGGCAAAACCTACTTGAAAGCACTTAACACCACCACCACCAACAAACAAACATATCTACTTTTTCAATTAAGCTAGAAAGTGGTTCTTGGTTGGTTATAAATATAAGAAACACAGCTCTTGCTGATAGTTTTTCAGTATGGGTCTGCTGGCACACTGTAGAATGGAATCACTGGGAGATATAAATTATTAATGCATTGATCTGCAAACTAAAAGGTTGAAGGTTTGTGTATACCCAGAGATACCTCAGAAGCAAGCCATAGTGATTTACTTTCAAAAAATTAGCTACTGAAAACCCAATGGAATACAGTTCCATTCTGGCATATATGGGGTTGCTATGAATCAGAACTGACTTAATGACAGCTGGTTCGAACACTGTAGAACCACCTGCGTAGGTAGTCCTCTCCCACACTGTACCTCTTTTCCTCCTGAGTATGCTTGTGTGTTCTAAGGAGCTCTGGTAGCTTAGTGGTTACGGATCGGGCTGCGAACCACAAGGTCAGCAGTTCAAAACTACCAGCTGTTCCACGGGAGAAAGATGAGGCTTTCTGCTCCCGTAAAGATTTCCAGCCTCGGAAACCCTGTACAGGGTCGCTATGGGTCAGAACCGACTCCACGGCACATAACAACAACAACAACAATCCGTGTGTGTTGTAGAGGCAAAGCAAGTCCCTGAGAATTTGGTACATCATACTTTCATATTTTTTGTTCTATGGCTTACTGTCACTTTATGATGTTCGCCAAACAGAATGAAAACTGCAATTTATTCTCTCTTTCAATCTGTGAGAGAAACCACTTTTTGCCTTAAATTTTTCTTTTTTCCTTTTGTAGGTATTAAACCTTTCTGAAAAGAGATATGAACTTACAAAGCTTAATCCTAAGGTATGAATTTTATTACATCATTTTCTGAGTTTTATCATGTAGACAATGCTTACCTTGCTCATGGAAAAATAGTCTGCTCTAGATCTTATGACTTGATAGTAACTATTAGGAAGTTTTCATATCCATTTTTTATTTAAATTTTGACATAACTAATAATACAATATCACCACCAGGAAATTGAGTTTGGCACAGTCCACAGATCTCATTCACATTTCACTAGTTTTGCATGCACTGGTGTGTGTGGGGGTGGGGATAAGGGGGCGTTTTCTGCCATTTCATCCAATGGGTAGATACATGAGGGTGAGTCAAAAATTATCTGCACTCCAGTTACATCAATAATGCCTGTCCATGACCGATGACCACACTGAGTGTGCACATGAAATGATTCATGTCAAATAGATGAGTAACAGTGGATTAGGTGGTAGATCAGCCATGGCTTTGCCTATGAAACAATCCACGACGGACTTGAGTTTCAAGAAGTTTGTGTAAGATAGGTACCGAAACAACCCACAGAAGAGCGTAAACAGAAGCGTATGTTTGGACATCTGCAAACAAAGTTTGGACCAATACTCGAAGGAAAGTAAAAAAAAAGACATTTTTAATTGTTACTAGTGGTGAGATATGGATTCATCACTAGGAGCCTGAGAGTAAACGGCAGAGTATGGAATGGAAACATCTTCAAACGCAGACCAACAAAAGCTCGTAAGTCAATCGTGTAAGCTGGAAATTTACATTTCCAGTTTTCTGATATTCTCAAGGGCATTGGAACACTGTCAGGAAAAAGGTTCAACAATCAACAGTGCTCTTTGTAGTGAGATGCTCGCTGAAGAATTGAAGCCTAAAGTTTGGATTTAACACAGAGGCCTGTTATCCAAGGGCGGTGTGGTCTCGCTTTGTTGATACTCTGCAAAAACTTCATTTGGAGGTGTTAAAGTGTCCTCCCTATAGTCCTGGTCTTGCTCCATCGGACTTTCACCTGTTTGGTCCCTTGAAAGCAGCCCTTTGAGTATGAAGATTCACCTCTGATGAAGAAGTGAAGACAGCAGTATATTCATAGCTCGCAGCTCAGCCCTAAACATTTTTTAAATAAGGGAATAATACGAAAGCCTGCTGACAGATGGACAAAGTATATTGAAAAACAAGGGGATTATGTCAAAAAATATTGTTTTTGAAGGCCCCTCCCGCTCCCGGCTGAGAGTCTCGGAGCTGTTGCTGCAGGATCCAGATTTTACCGCTGCTCATCGCCGCTGCCCACCTGCCCGATGTGCACTCCCAATTCCCTCCTTTTCCAAAACCAGCATGGCAGCTCTCAAGGATCAGCGGATTCAGACTCTTCTTGAGGAAGAACAGTCCCCCCAGAATACGATTACAGTTGTTGAGGTTGGTGCTGTTGGCATGGCATGGCCATCAGCATCTTAAGGAAGGACTTGGCACATGAACTTGCTCTTGTTGATGTCATGAAAGACAAACTGAAGGGAGACATGATGATCTTCAACATGGCAGCCTTTTCCTTCGAACACCAGAAATTGCCTCTGGTAAAGATTGTAATGTCACTGCAGATTCCAAGCTGGTCATTATCACAGCTGTAGCACATCAGCAGAAAGGAAAAAGCCGTCTTAATTTGGTCCAGCGTAACGTGAACATCTTTGAATTCATCATGCCTAATGTGGTTACAAATCGGGCTGTGAACCACAAGGTCAGCAGTTCGAAACTACCAGCTGTTCCGCCGGAGAAAGATGAGGCTTTCTGCTCCCGTAAAGATTTACAGCCTCGGAAACCCTGTACAGGGTCTACATGAGTCGGAACCGACTCCACGGCACCTAACAACAACAAATGTGGTGAAATGCAGCCCAAACTGCAAGTCGCTTGCTGTTTCTAATCCAGTGGCTATCCTTACCTATGTTGCTTGGAATATAAATGGCTTTCCCAAAAAGCGTGTTATTGGTAGTGGTTGCAATCTGGATTCCTTTTCCTAATGGGAGAGAGGTTGGGAGTTCACCCACTAAGCTGGCCCGGGTGGGTCCTTGGAGAGCATGGAGACTCTAATGTGCCTGTGTGGAGTGGTGTGAACATTGCTGGTGTCTCCCTGAAAAATCTGCAGATAAGGAACAGTGGAACAAGGTTCACAAACAGGTGATCGACAGTGCTTATGAGGTGATCAAAGTGAAAGACTACTATACCTCCTGGGCCATTGGACTCTCTGTGGCAGACTTGGCAGAAAGCATAATGAAGAATCTTAGGTGGGTACATCGAATTTCCATCATGATTATGGGACTCTATGGGATTAAAGATGACGTCTTCTTTAGTGTTCCTTGAATCTTGGGATAGAATGGGATCTCAGATGTTTTGAAGGTGGCGCTGACTCCTGAGGAAGAGGCCCGTCTAAAGAAGAGCGCAGATACACCGTGGGGCATCCAGAAAGAGCTGCCGGTTTAAAGTCTGCGTTAAAGTCTGCCATACCACTTCACCGTTCAGGCTGCGAAGGGATTTTAGTTGAGGGGTTGTGCATGTTGTCCTTTTTATCTGATCTGTGATTAAAGCAGTAAAGTTATGACCCAGGAAGAACACCTGTTTTCCTAAAGTCAGACACAGGAACGGTCCATAAACCCTATAGCTGGCTCCTGATGGTGGGTAATACTTAACCTCGTGTAGTTGTAACTTGGTTAGTATACAATAGTTCCACCACCTCGGAGACACCACTGCCAATGGTGCCATCCTGCCACTGCCCTTCAGACCAGAAGAATGTGGTTACTGTGTGGTATGTCAACACTCAGTATGCCTAGCCCAATGTGTTTTCCAATCATATTCTGGGTTCCAATGTGTAAACCCAAGATTGTGTGTCTTGTGCATAATTGTCCTGAAAGATCTTATTTTGTGTACTGTGTTTATCAGAGTAGTATGCATTGCCATGTAATGTAAAAAGATCTACATCTAAACATTGTAACTATTTGTCATACCAACTAATACACCAACTAAACCATGAACAGTGGGGAAAAAAATGTTGTATTTGTCTTTTATAAAAGTGGATTCAAGTACATTCTATAGCCAGAGTGTGGATAATTTTTGACTCACCCTTGTATATATAACTACCACCATCGTCAGGTTACAGGACTGCCATCATCACAAAGGTCACTCTTTATAGTCACATCTACTCTTCCTACCGGTGTAATTTCCAACAGCAAAAAATGTGGGAATATTTTTAAGAATGCAAATGTACAAGTTATGTATATACTGTAATATTTTGTATTTACTGTAATAGTAAATTGCCTCTTAAAGTCGTTAACAAAAGTAAAATGAATTTATGTATAATATCATCTCATCTGTGTTAAATACACATTAAAAAACATAAAAGGATTCGTTAAAATGCACTGGTGGTTGCTTATGAGTGGTGGTAGGAATTCGTGAGTTTTCCTTCTTCCTGACAGTTTTCTGAAATGTTAAATTAGAGTTACATTATTTCTGTTGGCTTTTCTAATCCAACAGCCCTATGTCTCCTACCCCCATGAGTAAAAATGAAAGAAAGTAAAAGTCCTAGCTTGCTGTAGTATGTTTTTAGAACTAGACCTATTTTTCATGACTTCTAAAGAGTTGCTATTTTTGTGTGTAGCCTCATTGTATTATTTATCCTCTGATTAGTGTCTTCTTTGTTAATGCACTGCACTATAGTTAAGATTTGAAAGTGTTTCCTCTTCCACGGGCACAGTTATCTCTTTTGAGGAATTTTACTGTCTCCCAAGTGTGTGTGAGCGAGTCCTTTGCCTCTAAAACATTATTTACAGAGTAAGGGCAAATAACTTACTGCACTTTCCCAAACTTCGATTTCAGTTTGAACAGAGGAATTTTGCCCCCAGCTTAGGCCAAGAACTTCTAATTCAGGTCCTGCCAGATCTCGGGCTCCCCATCTCCCCTCCCACTACCATATTGCACCAGTTTCTAATCCTAAAAGGACTATCTGCAATTGTTATTCTAGCTGCTCAAGAGTAGATAAGACCCTTGGAGAGATGTTTTATTTACTTTGAATTTTTCTCTCTAGTACAGGAACCTGGTCACAGTTCTCGATAGGTTTTAGAAAAGGAACATGCAGCATCATTTTTGACTAGCAAATGAAATGCAGTGACGCAAAAAGACCCATCAGAAAGTGGAGACTAAGAATGCACTTTCTTGTTGCAGACAATGGACGTGGGCTGGCCAGACATGCATGCTCCGCCTCTTGATAAGATGTGCACCATATGCAAAGCCCAGGAGTCGTGGCTCAACAGTGACCCCCAGCACGTGGTGGTTATCCACTGTCGGGTGAGCAAACGGAGGGTCTCCCTGGAGGTTGTGAAGGGTGTGGGATAAAGACGGATGCTGGTCACACAAACTGTTCATGAATCGTGTTCAATCTCACTTTCAACTGTGTGACTTGCTCACTGTGTGTCTGTGGTTAGGTTTCATATGTGTTCTTAAAAAAGAAGCTCAGACCTCCCAGAGTTGGACTTTAGAGTTTCTAGGATTATAATTCCTAAATGGACATTTTCAACTACTGAATGGTGCTGTGGGGAATGAGTGTCTTTCTCTCTTCCCACCCGTTTTTCCTCCCTTCCTTTTGCCATACTTTTTTCTTCCTTTGTCCCTTAATGAGGAAAATCCCCTTTTTAAAAAGAAAGAAAGAAAAAGGCAGTTTTACAATACTCGCATCAGATTTTCTGTACCCTCCAAATTACAGTGAATAACAACTTGATGGCACTTAACAACAGCTACAATGGATCGACGTGTGAATATGGGATGTTGTCATCTTTCAGAAACTGCACCAGCCCGCAGGAGAAGTTACTTGTGTGTTTTCGAGGAATAGCCCAGGACTATCTTGATTACTGCAGTCTGAGCAGCCTGCTTTGCTCACCAGGGTCCAGGCCCCTTGTACGGCTGGCATATTTGTTCTGGGGACCACCTATCTCCTCCTCCTCCTGGCCTTTTTAAGTTTCAGGTTTCTCAACTGCTTTCAAATTGATTTTTGCCTCTTAATAACAAGAGCTCCAGTCTTGATCCTGGTTTCTCAACTCTTAATTGAGAGTCATGAGAAAAAGATGCGACTTTCTTCTCTCATCAAGATTTACAGTCTCGGAAAACTGTACGGCGCAGGGTTCTGCTCTCTCCTGTAGCGTTACTATGAGGCGCAATTGACTTGAAGCCTATGAGTTTTGCTGTGATTTGAACTGAGGATAAATTATGCTAAGGGGCAAGGAATTGAGTCTTGACCCTCCTGTAAGATACTTTTGCTATAAAGGAGAGGTTGTAATCACACACGCACCTTGACTTCGTGCAGCATGTGATAAGATGATTTGACAAGAAGTTTGCCAGTAGGTTGGGGGCACAATTCTTTCAAGGGAAGTTCACTGTTTCCAACATTCGGTACCACATTCGGTGACCACCAAAAACATCTAGAAATGTTGACTTTCCTGTCATGAAGAATTTTAATTAGATAGTCTTTTAATATTCAAAAGCTACACAAAAATCAATTTTCGAATTCAGTTCAATTACAGAATTTAATTTTTTAAAAATCAGTGATTTGTTTTGTTACTGTTGTTGAGAATGTGCACAGCAAAACAGATGCCTGACTTTCAAAAGTATTACGTTATTTTAAGGAATTTCCCCTCAAATATGTATTTTAGTGCAAACTTGGAATGGGGAAGACATTTTAGAAAGAATTCTGATCCATTAAAGCTCACTGTATGATTTTCATCAAGCTTGACCTTAGATATTTTTATATGATGAATGGATCATTGTTCCCTAAGATCACAAAACAAGCTATTACCAAGCATTGTTCCCTAACCCATTGGTTCTTACAGTGTAGCCACAGGAATAGCATCACCTTATACTTGTAAGTAATGCAGTTTCCAGGATCTGATCACGGATCTACTGGAGCTAGATGGGACCCAGTAGTTTGTTTTTCTGATAATGCTGGTGCGCTCCAGAGTTACGTAAGCATGCAACTGAACCATTCATTCTGTTTTACTTCAATTTTTATGAGATAAATTGTAATATTATTTAAAGCATATGGTGATAAAAACAAATGACCATAGAGAGATTTCTAAAGTGCTTCTTACCCCTAAGCAACTCTTGATTCTCTGGATAAATCTTACTGATGGAACTAGGCACATGTTAAAATTTATTAAAAATAATTTGCTTATCACTTGTGCTCTTCTGGTGTCATGTAAAGCATTTTTGAAACATTTAAGCAACATAACTGTGAATGATAAGTCTTTAAATGTAAAATGCCTGATGTTTACATTGGCAGAAGTTTATCACAAATAAAGCTTTTTCTGATAAACAGTGGGCTGGGGGTGGAGTATTGACAATGGACAAAATCCATGTGCTTTGCATTTCCTTTAACACTGTGGTTTGTGGTTAGCCAGAAATTGCTAAGCTTGTTGGGTCTGTCTTGGTTTGAGTAGTAACAAATGGAGAGGCCAGTACAGGAATGTTCCTCCAGTCCCTCTCTCTTTTTTTATTGTGGGAAACTATATGTAGTCCTGAGATGGCGCTGTAGGATAAGCATTGGATTGTTAACCAAAAGGCCAGTGGTTCAAACTCACCAGATTCAAACCCACCAACTGATGCTTGGAAACTCTATACAGGGTCGCTATGAATCGGAGCCAACTCGATGGCACTTAACAACAACTATATGACAAAGTGTTTGTCACTTTAACCATTTTGAATTGCACAGTCCTGGAACCTTCGTTCTAGTCACTGTGTTGTGCAGACATCACCACTGTCAATTTCCCTCACTCTCTTCTTTGATACAAGGATACTGTTTTTGCTGGTTTGTTATGTCCCCCACCTGCCCCACCATCCACCAAGAATCATTGATTCAGTAATTATCCAGTTCTTTGGAAAGGTTTCATTCCCACTAGACTTTTGTTTTGAGTGGATGCTGAAGAATACAGATGGCAAATTGCATGATCCAGGAATTCTCTGATGTTTGGTGAAAACTGTGCAAATCCAAAAGAATGTTGCTTGTGTTAACCGACGTCACATCTATGCCTTTGTTGTTAGCTGCCATCGAGTCAGCCCCTGACTCACGGCTACCCCACGCACAGTGGAAGGAAATACTGTCCAATCCTGCGTTGTCCTCGTGAGATAGACCCCTAATGATTCATAGGGCTTCACTGGTTGATTTTCTGAAGTAGAATACCAGACCTTTCTTCCTACTCCTTAGTCTAGAAGCTCTGCTGAAACACTTCTGTATCATAGTCACATGTAAACCTGGAATTAAACTTAGGTCTCTAACATGGAAGATGTGGTTTCTACCTCTGAACCGCCACTGCACCCTGTCCAGGACTAAAGTAACCTCACTGCCACTGAGGATTCCCAAGACTCCATGGTTGTTGTTGTGAGGTGCCACTTAGTTGGCACTGACTCATAGTAACCTTACGTGTAGCAGAATGAAACCCTCCGCAGTCCTGTGCCAACCTCACAATCGTTGGTACACTTGAGCCCATTGCTGCTGCCACTGTGCCAGGACATCTCATTAGGGTTTTCCTCTTTTTCACTGACCTTCCCACTTTACCAAGCATGATGTAGTTCTCAAGGGACTGGTCCCTCCTGATAATATGTTCAAAATCTGGCCTTCCTGGCTTCAAGGAGCTTTCTGGCTGTACTTCTTCCAACACAGATTGGTTTGTTCTTTTGGAGTCCATGGTACTTTTAATGCCTTCTTCCAACACCGTGACTCAAATACGTCAATTATTTTACAGTCTTCTTTATGCGTTGTCCAACTTTCATATGCATATGAGATTATTGAAAATACCATGATTCGGGTCAGTCACACCTTAAAAACAGTGATGGATTGAGATGGTAGGGGTAAAGGTCAGCACTGGTTCTGACTTGTATTAAAATAAGGGAAGGGGAAAAAAAACTTTATAAAGCATAATACCAGTAGCTATACGATTAATAACCATGAATATCAGTATTTACCTTCAAAGGCTTTATGTTATATGTCTTATGACAATTGTAGATGTGGAAGTGTCCCAAGTCTAGGTAAGATGAACCAAGATTGGCAGACAGGCAGGTGGGTCTGATAGGCAGGTCCAGCAGGCAGATAATTAAGCAGGCCACTGTCTCAAATCCAAAGAAGTGGAGCTTGCAGGACAAGTCACATCCAAACCCAGCACAAATCTAGCAGCATTGCCTGAGTGTCCATTATATTGGAAACATTCCGCATCCCTAAGAAATGTCCTTTCAATTAATTGGCAGTTCATAGCCAATCATCTTAGAGTTAATTACCCCTGCTAATAGCCAACCATCATAAGGTTAACAGCATTGCATTAGATCTCTCCCTGCGGATAGCCACATCTCATCTGCCAAACCACTGGCAATACTGGCCCCGTCAAGTGGACACAAAAGCTTAACTATCACAGCATGCTTGCATGGGAAACCTAGAAGGCTTTCTTCTCAGTGGAGAATACTCATGGGTAAAATACATATATGAGGGGGCTTCAAATAGTTCATGGAAATTTTCCATTACTTTGAATTCCAGTTTTTCACAAACTTTTTGATGCTCCCTGGTATGACTTTTGGTTTATTGAAATTGTGATCTAGATTTATTCTGTCATAATTTTTTTTCTTTAAAAATAAATAAATATTGACTTCTGGTTTGGGGGTAGGAGAAGCAGAGAGGGGTAGGGGAGGCTCCTCAGCAGAGGCACAAAACAACAACAATAAACAACAGAAAAGGTGCTTTCCCAGAGTAGTTCCAGAGCTTTGGATCTAATATAAGGTGCGGGCCATCCGTTTTCCGCACCCACCGGTGGAGAAATCTGACTGTGGCGGGAACACACGGTGATTTCTGAATCCATCAGCCCGCTGCCTGCGGACCCCTGGGCCTGGGTTGGGATCAGAGGGCGGAGCCACAGCCAGGCTGATACAGTGCTAGAGCTGGAGTGGTGTCTGGAAAAAGAGGTGTGACAGCTTTCTGCACTATTCTTTCCTCCTCTCCCCTATGGCACCCTCTCTGCTCCAGCCCAGTCACCTTCAGGTGGGTGGGAGCGCACCCCCAAAAGGGACCAGCGTTGTGCCCACAGTTTTCCCATGGCACAGGGAGGAAATCTACAGAGGGTGGAGAAAAATAAGGAAGAAGTCAGGAAACTGCTCCAGGAGCAATCAAACAAAATGAATATAGCATTGAAAACAATCCAAAACCTGCAAAAACAGGTCCAGATGATTAATAACAAAATATCAGAAATGGATAATACACTGAAAGGGCAAAGGAATAGAACTGCAGAGGTGGAAGCCAGAACTAGTAAGCTGGAAAG